TCAGGAGGTCCCAGGTTCAAATCCAATGAGTAATAAAAAATCCTCTTGTGGCCACGAAAATTCAAATACGGTGACTCCGAGCTATCTACAAAGCAGGTGGTCGCCCTGAGATTAATCGGCTCGTATAACGGGTTGGATATCCAGTTTAATCCAAAAAAAAATTGTAAGCTAGACTGCACTCTGTTCATCGTTACTTCTATTAACACACAAATGTGTAAACTACATTGCAGTCTCTCGAACTAGCAAAAACCTCACGGTTTGAACAAGATTCATCATCCTCTCTTAACTTTGCTACTTCTATGGTTTTGATCCATAGAAGGCGAAGAGGGTGAGGTGTTAAGCAGGAGAGAGTTCGAATTACTATTTACTCTTGTATATTTAATTATGTAATATATTTATTAATTAAATATATAATCAAATAAATGAAAAGAAACGTTTCTTATAATTTGTAAAATACTTTCACGACTTATCAAAGGTTGGGTCATACTTTTAGAATTTTCTTTTGGGGTCTAACATCTTTAAATCATATGGACCGTCTACAAATATTTAGATTAAAAAAAGGTAAAGAGAGACTCATGATACAAGATCATTCAGAAGGTTTTAGGATCATTAAAAACAGACATCTTTTTTTGGCAAACAAGATTCATCTTTTAATGATTCAGAAATCATCTCTTAATGGAACTATTAAAAGGTTAACAAACAACCCCTAAGTAATGGTCCCAAAATAAAAAATTCCATTTCTTTTTGTTGTATTATTTTGAGCTGCCAACATGAAAGACAACGATTATTAGATTTCGGTGCAATTTTCCATCAAAAAAATGTGTTGTTATAGAAAATCATGAAAAAACAATGTTAAATGATTTAATAAATAAATTTAAAAGAAAACATGTTTTCCCACAAATATATCAGAACGGGTGCACGTGATATTCACGGACCATGAGTACTGCGGTTTTGTTGATTTAAGATAAGAGTAAATTGCATTTTTGGTCCCTATAATTTGTTGTTTTTCTTGGAATATGTCCCTACAAAACTTTTATTGCAAAAAAACTCTATGATATGTAAAAATGCTTGGTTTTGATCCTTTTTAGGGGCCGTTTACCAAACACTTATCCGGGTAAGTATTTACCGATTCCATTACCTCAGCGGATGAATATGGTATGGACCAAGAATCTTACCCGGTAAGAGTGATACAAAGACCAAGAGTCTTTCCCACTAAGTGAGGGCAACGACTTTTACCACGGTAAGCGTTTACCGAGAAAATTGTTGCATATGATGTCGTTTATGTGGACCAAAATTTTATCCAATAAATAAGTAATAGTGTTTAATTTTACCGGTAAACACTTACTAGGTAAGTGTTTCGTAAACGGCTCCTTAGTAATGACTATCAACTTTCTGCTGTTAAGTCCCTTTACTTGAGGGCAATATGATCAGTTTACTTTTGGAATTTGACATAGAACTAATAAAATCATTGATATTTTGTTAAATATTATGTTGTTTTATCACCACCCATTTTTTCAACCATCACTACCACCAGAAAAAGAAACAGAAACAAAAGATAAAAACCACAACATTTTTGTTTACTTTTCAGAAAAGTCAAAATAAAATCAAACAATGAACAAGAACATGAAAAATGTATGAACACAAATACAAACTCAAACCCTAAAGAAATCCCTAAATTCAAAAGCCTAAAATCCTAAAATAACTTAAATCTCGTGCACTAACAACCCCCTGGTTTCATTAACAGAGAGAGGGGAAAGGATTGATTCATTGTTTAGATATTGAAGTTGTGTTCCCCGCTGCTCGCTGTGACCACAACCATGCGTATATGGGCAGGGGGCTTGGTCTATGTGTTTGGTCCAATTGGGATTCATGGTTGTGATTTACTTATCGGAGAAAAGAGGATAAACGGTGGTCGTTGATAGCGAAGAGAGGGAAATGTGAATGAGTGATATGTGGAGAAGGAATAAATTATTGTACATATGATCCAAATACGGAGCAGATAACTGCTGAAAGTATCTGAGTAATAAGCTCGTTCTTATGCACCTCTGCTTGGACATGATCTACCATGTGACATGCTACTTTTGCCTTGCTGCAAAGGGCATTATCGGTTGAAATAGATTTTTTTTTATCAATCAAAACCCCTTCCCAAACTATACAAGCTTCTTTCAAAGCATATAGAAGAAGATACTTAAGTACCTCTCAAAATTAATTTCTTGTATTATCTTGTAATAGCTTGTAATTGGACTTGGGCATATGGGCTTTACTTGTAAATGTCACCTATAAATAGGTAACATGGGCTTAGAATAGCTTGTTGTTCATCCATTACAATTTTCATGAGAGTCAACTAAAGTGTTTGAGAGCTTTGTAATTTTCTGTTTCATGAAAAATATAAGTTGGTCGGTTCATCATTTTCATTTTCTACAATCTCTCAATTACTGTTTAATTCTTGAATTGTTGTTAGATCTGGGATCTATAGTCTAGCCTCTCCTATGCCTAAGGTGTTGAAAACAGATAAGGGCATTAAATTGATATCATCTCTTAAATCAGACAAAGCTTTCTCAATTTCTTTTCCACCTATTAAACAGGGAATAATGAAACTTCTGGATCGTTAAGCTTAGAAGGTATTATTATTGGTCAAAAGTGCACTATATCCTTCAGTAAGGGTAACAGTTTCATGTTCAATCAGTTTTCTTCTTTTTACTTATGATGTCTTTGAGGAACTTGACATAACTAGGAATTTGCTCAATTGCTTCAACAAGGGGTATGTTGATATACAATTCTTTGAGCACATCCAAAAATTTCTTAAAATGCAACTATTCCTTTTGATTCCTTAATCTTTGGGGAAAAGGTACATAAAGAGGAAATGGTTTTATGATAGCTTTGTTTGAATGATTTGAACAAGATGGGTCCTCAATGGCTTGGGTGTTGATCTTATTCTCTTATGGTGTGGATGGAGTCATAACGTTGGCCCTAAGGTTTTCCACAACCCTATTCTCTAATGACTTTTTCCTAGTGGCCTTTATTGAAAACAATAAAGGATAGTCTGACTGTGGAGAGACAAAAGTAGTGACCTCAGATTCTTTGTTCTCTAATGGATTTGGTGGCTTTTCAATAACAGGGACCAATGGTATAGTCTTAGGTTTGGACACAACTAGTTTACATTTTTTTTGTACGGTCTCTATTAATTCCTTCCCACTTTTAAGGGTTCTTGCTTTCACATGCTCCTTTCCTAAGGCTCTTGGGACGTATGTGTTGATCATCTCTCTCAGTGATTTGATGATAATCCATTTTCATTTATACGTTGTATTTATGTTTCTGTCTTTTCAGTTCCAGCGATCTTCACTGAGCATGTTAAGTGATCGCTGAAAAACTTGTATTGTAAATCTATCAGAAACAGAGATACTTCAAGAAGGCAACACTCACACCAAAGAACCTTCAGCAAACGTCGAAGACTGAAACTGAAGATTAGAGATTGGCGAATACGTGATCTGAAGAAGTACTCAGTGATTACAAGCATGTCTATATATGTGTGAAGACTGCTCAAGCTTCAGCGAATGRTGAAGAGACCTTCAGGTCATTCCAACATTCAGTGATCAAAGGAAGCTTGCTTAGCACGATTGTTGTTGTCTTGTCCTTATGCACACAAAGGACAAACATATACCCTTATGAAAGTTGGTATGGTACGGAGCTGACTAGTCGACTCTATTATCCACCAACTTTAGGTAAAGATGTCTGCTCATGAATAGTGCTTTTTGTACTATTCACTGTAGCAAAGGACAAGCCTTCCTCTTAAGGCTTGACACGCACTCTAACCCTACCATATTGCATTAAATGAACATTTAATGCACTGGGTATAAATAGAAGTGTTTCTTCTCCATGCAGAGTACGCGCAACTCACTCTCTAACCCTAATTCTTACTTCAAGCATTTTCTAGTTAAAGTTGAGGATCTTCTCTACATCATTTCTTTTCTTGTATTTGCTAAGATTTAGTGTGTAACTAAAGATTGTTTAGATAAGTTTTTATCACCTTATCTTTCTGCAAACAATCTTGTAAAATATGTATTGATCTTCTTTATCAATATATATTTTAAATTTGAAAATATTGTCTTTGTATTTATCCCCCCTTTTACAAAATGTTTTACTAATCTTGTAGACCCTCAAGGGACTAACAGTATGTGTTACTAGGAAAAGTACGAGCGACCCTATTGTTCTGGTTGAATGCAAGTTGACCGACTTGGGTTTTTAAATTCCTAATTGCAACATTTTATTGCTTGACTTGGCCGTTCAATAGAGCTTGGTTATGAGTGTTTTGTCGGTTTAATAGGGCTTGATATTGAGCTTGATCTTGAGCCATAAGCCCCTTTACCAATGCTTCTAAAGAAGTTGATAAGTCAGCCTATAGAGGTGGTTTATTTTGAACAGATGGTTGAGTAGTTTGAAAACCTTGATGATGATTTTGAGAACTGTTTGCATGCTGTTGAGTTGAAAATTAGAGGTTCATTGTTGCATAGGTGCGGGTGGATTTAAACATGGATTGTACCAAGAAAATTTCAGATGTTGTTTCCAACTATCAATGTAAATGTTGGTATAGGGACCAATTATTATGAACATAGTTGATAAATTCCAAATTATGATAACAATGTTCATAAGATTGTTCCCTTCTACAACAAACACATTGTACAGAGAGTACTATTGAAATAGGTGTAGTAGCAGTTGACTACACTCCTTGGCAAGAAATTATGTTTTTAAAGATAGTGGCCATGGAAGTAAGTTGTGTTGATAATACAATATATGCATCTACATCATGAATTCCAGTTGTCCTCTTTTGTGATTGGGTACGTGGATCTGTCTAGTGTCCATTTGCAGAAATTTTTTCAAGAATCTTATGCCCGTCATTGTAGGTACTAGTTATAAAGGCCTCTCCTAATGTCGCATCAATCATATGTGTATCCATGGGATTTAACCCAATGTAGAATGTCTCGAGTTGAATACAGTAAGGAATGTCATTGTAATGGCATTTTCTTAACAGCTCTTTGAACCTATCACATGCATCAAGGAACTGCTTCATCGTCCATTTGTTTAAAAAGACAGATTTCATTTCGGGACTTAGCATTCCTGGTGGGTGGAAAATATTTATGTAAAAACTTTTCAGTCTTATTATTCCATAATGGTACAGAACCTGGTGGTAATGAAGTAAACCATGACTTTTCCTGATCTCATAAAGAAAAAAGGAAATAAAGTAAGTCTTAGAGTGTCGTTAGGCACTCTCGGGATCAATAAAGTATCAGTGATTTCCATGAAAGATTTTAAATGTGAGTGGGGATCTTCCAATGGTAATCCGATAAATTGCCCATTTGTTTGCAACATATGGAACATTATGGGTTTTAGACCAAAATGGACGGCTGTCATACGAGGTCTAACTATTCCTGAATTCAATTGCTCAAAGTCGAGAACAACATAGTCCTTAATTCTCTAGTCTTTAGAATTTGCAAGATTGACAATACTTGGAGCTACTCGTGGTTTTTCATTTTTAGATTATGTATCATCATCATCATCATCATCATCAACTTTATGTGGTGTATTTTGTTGAAAAGGGTGTTCAAGTGGATTTCCAAAAAGTGGCGGCTGCGGAGACGGTGGTGGCCCATTTTCAATAAGTGGGGGAGGTAACACCATATTAAGAGGAAGTAGAGCAAATAATGTTCTTTGCGCTCTCCTTTGACAAAAAGTTCTCTCAACATTGAAATCGAATTCGAGAAACACCCCGTAGTGTATCTTTGGCATACACCAAACTTAAAATATGATTACAAACATCAAATCTTTAACTTTTTAAAATCTTCTAGCTTGCCAATCCCCCACAACGGCACCAAAAACTTGGCAAGAGCTTTTTACACATCCACAGACTTGGTAATTAGGTCCAAAAGAAAATATACAGTTTGCCCCAACAACAACAGCAATAGCCAAAACCAACAACAACAGCCTACCTAGTACATACTATCTACTGTATGTCTGCATGCAAAAAACAAGATCCAAGAGTGCAGAACAACAACATACATAGTTACTATGAACTAAAATTCTTGCCACTTTGAGCCAATCAAAACAATATGCAGTATCAAAATGATATATCTTTCATATCCATAACGATATAAGTAATTAAGTATATGACACCAAAATCCAAATCACATTGGACTGTAGAACAAAAAATTAAGAGAGTAAAACAAAACAGTGACTAAAATATGTTCCTCTAGACCTAATAAGCAAAGTGGCCACTTCTCAAACAATGACTGTTTGTGTTCGGGTTTCAGACGGGTTCGGGTTTTGGATCATGAGATCCTACCCGAACCGACTAACTCGAGATATTTTTCGGATTTCGAATCTCGGGTTGGTTCGGATCGGGTTTTTCAGGTTTTGCACACCCCTGAAGAAAAGCTGTCCAAAAATGAGTTTTTTTTGTAGCACCAAACCTAACCACTTCAAGGTATCGACTAAAGTTTATTTTAAAGTCAAAGATCCATTTAAAACTCCAAAATATACTTGCTAAAATCCAGGTTACAATCAATTTGTAGACTTTTGGAAGTGGGTTTAAGCAACTGAATTTTGTTCAAATCAATTTTTTAGTTGGTATAAAATGGGTAGCAATGAGTATAAGAAGCCACTTTTGAACATACTATATTATGAAGGCCGTCATGGATGTATTTTGGATTAGTATAAAGACCAGGCTACAAATTAAGGAATTGTTATGGATATGATCCGTTCTTTTATCACATATTACAACATTAGGTTATGGAAGTTAGGTAATGTTTGGTATGTAGATTGTATGAGACAAAATATGACATAATTAATTGTTTGTCCTATGTTTGGTACATCTAGAACAGAATAGGACGAGATGGGATAAGACTGTTAAAATGACCATATTACCCCAAAATGTTGTTTAATGTTATTTTATATCATATAATGATTGTAAATGATAACAAATCAACCAAAAATATATTTAAATTATTTAATCTATGTTCAGGGCCGTCCCTGGGGGAGGGCGACACGGGCGTACGCCCAGGGCCCAAAACTATCAGGGGCCCAAATTTCTCCTTAAAATATATAGTAGTCTAAATGAATTTAGTAAATTAACGAAACCAAAAAATTGTAGCATATAATAAGAGAGAAAAATAATTTAATAGATGATAAGGGCCCAAAAATATATCAACTAATTACATTGGAGAAGAAAATAAAAAAAATTAATTGGTCATTCATTATATGTTATTGTTTATTGCCTTTGTCCCTCTAATTTTTTTTTATCTCCACCAATGTCCAATGATATTGGCTATTGCTATCTCTATATGCTTCACTATTTTCGTGCTTCAACAATTCAACGTTAGATAGTTTTATCAATTTCTATTTTTATTGATTATTGCTATTTGGTTATGCTGTTCTAATTGTTTTTGTTGACTATTGTTATCTATTTTTGCTTCTACATAAAATATTTTACTTTGTTTTAGACAATTAATCTATTGTTCTTATGATTTATGACGTGTTTTATGGTTTTGTGATTAATCAATAAATTTTTCCTACTAGATGTATTTAGTAATGTCCCTTATATATGTCATGTTCCATAAACTTTTAATATTAAGATCTTATTTTAGTTGAGCAAAAAAAGAAGGAAATAGAATTTAAATATTTTCATCAATTGTTTGACTTATGTATATTTCATTGGGATTCCACTACATCACAAGATTCTATTTAAGTGTTCAAACAATCATTTGTTGAGCTTGCATATTATATGTTTAATTCATTATTTATTTTTACTAGACTTTAATAGATCATCTTTTCTTTCATATTCTTATTGATCATCATTTGTCTACTTGTCTAGAAGACTTTGATAATCTTCTTTATTATTGATCACTCATTGACCTCACAATTATTTCATTAACACGAATTCTCTTTTTGTATCAAAATAACACATATTTCTTGTTATAAAGTAAAAATTTCATACGTTTTATAAAAATTTATCAACCATAGTTTATATACTCTTGGTTTAAAATTACCTAATAAGAAGTACGTAAATTTAAATACTCTCTTATATATCTATAATAAAGATAAATAAGATTTTTTTACTCTGTAAATTATTAGCATTTTTTGTACTCAATTTTATACTAATGAAAAACATTTATTTAATTTTTTTTCGTACTTACCGAAAGTCACTACAAGAAAAGTGAGATTTGACGATGCGCCTTTTAGCGATGACATGTGTCACAAGTTATAACGACGACATGTTGTTATATACTATTTCTAATGATAAAAGGACTTTTAGCGACAACAAAAGTGGTTGCTAAAAGCCTTGTTTCTTGCAGTGGGCCCCCTATTTTTATGTTCGCCCAGGGCCTAAAAAATGTCAGGAACGGGCCTGTCTATGTTATCAATACTTTTTTACCATTCCAATATCACATGTAAATAACACTTGTCATACCATAAATTCTAAATACGCACATAATTTGAAAAATTTTAAACACAACAATTGTAAATAACATTTTCACGCCATCGTCAAAGGTTTAACATTTCAAGAATGGAGGCTGTGGAAGAGAAGAAAGAGGATGCAATTAAATTAGATTTGTATTTTGATATCAAATAATAAGAGCAATATTGTAATCTCAAATTTAGTCTCATGTTGTTCTATTTTTTTTTTGTGGAACAAAAAAACTCAAGAATAGTCCCACTCAATCTCACTTTTGTTTCATGTTGTCTCATCTCATTTTTGTCCCATGGCATACCAAATATGGGACTATTTATTTTTGTCCTGTCCCGTCCCACCCAGTTTGCATACCAAACGCACCCGTAATAATCAATAGCAGTTTTCAATCATGTGACAAAAATGAACATTGGGTGCTCATATTTTTAGAAGTTCATGTAGCGATTGCGTGCCGTCTTTATTCACCTTATATAAAATTAAGAATAGAACTGTGTCGATAATGGTTTCCTTGAATTTGGATTCTTGTTCAAGCTTTTGGTTTTATGTCCCTCGTCGTAATTTTTTTTCAATAATAATGAACCGCCTATCTTAACTAGGTTCCAAACCCCTAAGAATTTGTGGGTTATGAATTCATTGGATTTGAAACATATTTTTAGCTCTCTGTTGAGCACATTTTAAACCATTGGACCGACTAATCACCATTATTATTTCTAACTTTTAGATATATGGAATTAGTAAATATGTGTTTATAAAAATACGTTGTAATAAATTATTTTGGTAAAATTGAACAATTAGATAAAAGGTTTTATTAACTTTTAAACAAAATGATCAGTTTGGCACAAGATGGAGATCAATGGTTACAGTTTACCACTTATACAGTAAGTGTTTACCAGATCATTTACCTTATTAGATAATATAGTAAGAGTTGATAATCTTACCCGGTAAGACCGATTATTTGGATGAAGAGTCTTACCCGATAGATTGACGACTCTTATCCGGAAAACGTTTGTCAGATAAATTGTTGTATATGATACCATTTTGATAGATTACAATTTTACCCAGTAAAGTAACTTAAGGTATTGACTATTACTGGTAAGTGTTTACCGAGTAAAACATTTGGGTAAACGGAATTTCAAATGAAATAATAGTATATGATCGTAAAAACAAAAACTTTAGAAGACAAAAACAGCAAAGCAACACTAGTTCAGGGACCATAAATGTAATTAAAGTACTAGTTTAGGGACCATAAATGTAACTAAAGTAGATGGCATAACACCACCAATGAGCCACTTGAGCAAATTGCTGTTGGCCAAGTACCCATCAATAAACACATGTCATAAATGCTATTAATATTTGGAAAAATGACGATAAAAAGACAAATATCCACGTACTATTTCCATATAATATTGGCTACATGCAGATGAATCTGTGAATATGTGGGCCCACGTGCGCCTCCACGTGCCTTCCTCCGTCTTTATCTTTACAAATTCAAAAACCACGTGCTTCTCACGCTCCACTTATATATCTCCCTCACTCCACCTCTTTAACTTGCATTCCTGAAAGTCATTCAATCACAAATGGCGCTTGTTCGTGAACGCCGGCAGTCTAAACTCGGTCTCCGATTACCGGAAATCTCCGAACGCCGCCCTCGTTTCCCTCTACCTCTCCCTCCCACCACTCAACAACCGACAACCACCACCGCGGCCGTTGACTTAGAAAAGATTCAAGTTCTCGGTCACGGCAACGGCGGGACGGTTTACAAAGTGGTACAGAAGAAAACCTCGAATGTTTATGCGCTCAAGGTTGTACATGCCGACAGTGATCCGATGATGCGCCGACAGATATTCCGGGAGATGGAGATTCTCCGGCGAACGGATTCGCCTTATGTCGTTCACTGTCATGAGATATTCGAGAAGCCCGATGGGGATATAGCTATAATGATGGAATACATGGACGCCGGAACCCTAGACTCGTTATTGAAAAACGGTGGCCGGTTCACCGAGAAGACACTCGCCGACGTCGCCAGACAGGTTCTTAACGGACTTAACTACCTCCATGCCCACAAGATCATCCATAGAGACATCAAACCTGCAAATCTTCTGGTCAACAAGAACATGGAGGTGAAGATCGCCGATTTCGGAGTGAGCAAGATCATGTGTCGGACTCTCGACGCCTGCAATTCCTACGTCGGCACGTGCGCGTATATGAGCCCAGAACGGTTCGATCCCGACACTCACGGTGCAAACTATAATGGATATTCCGGCGATATCTGGAGCTTAGGGTTGACGATGTTGGAGCTTTACATGGGTCATTTCCCGTTCTTGCCGGCCGGCCAGAAACCGGACTGGGCGACGCTTATGTGTGCGATATGTTTTGGGGAACCACCGAGCCTGCCGGAAGGGGTTTCCGATGAGTTTCGGAGTTTCATAGAGTGTTGTTTGCAGAAGGATTCTAGTAAGAGATGGACAGCATCACAGCTGCTTTCACATCCTTTTTGTAGACAACCTGAAAGCTAAGATTCACCGGAAAAGTTCGTCGGTGTTGGCGACGGAGATGACCGGAACTGATGAACGAGTCTTTGTTTTTCTGTAAATACATCGATGATGAAATTCAAAATAATAGGAATTTTGTGATCTTTGTTTCTCCAACCATTTCAAATGTATATTCTTAGCGAATTCAATTTCAAATTTGAATTGAAATCCTTCAAGGTGTCACATGATTATTCATTTAACAACCAATTAGGGTTTTAACTTAATGGAAATATTGACCAAATCATCATTTTCAACTCATTCAAATGGGGATTTATGAAAAGTCATATCATACAATTAAAACAAGCAGATTCAATCAGAACTGATCGATGATTGATTAAACATGAAATCATAACCGAATTTTAACTTTAACATAGTATTTTTGTAAATATATAAAAGGTGTTTGGGATTGCTTATAAAAACAACTTATTGACTTATTTCGGTATGACACCGGTAATAAATAATTTTAAGTGTTTGAATAAACAACTTATACCGGTAATAAGAAGTTTTTGAAGAAGTTAAACACTTCTGATTTGTAATCTATACTATATTATAAAGTATTTAACAAAAACTCTTAAAAATCATTTCTTATGCGTAAAGTACTGTTTATTAATGTACTAGAAGAGTACTCGCGCAATGCAGCGAGACACATCTCGATTTTAATGTTCTATTTTATTATTTGTACTTGTCGATGTTATAATACGATTTTATGTGTTTTTAATAAAGCAATAATGATTTTATTTTTGAATAAATATAAATTTGAAGATATCATAAAAAATTGTAAAAATATATATCAATATTAATATCAAATCAACTATTTAAAACTTCGCATTTTTTATGTAATTTCTTTAATTTATTTATTTTATTATAATTTAATTTAAGTT